TTCGTTGTTGTTTACTCTGATCCGCTATTCGGTCCTACCCTTTTTTGTTCCATTAGTTGTCGTAGAACTCAAAGATGGATGTTCCAGCTGGAGACAAATTGCATATCTGTCACATGCTATAGAATGCATTTCGTCAAGACAAGAACGCCACCAAAACAGCTCGGTACGTTTCGTTTGTGTATAGTAACGACGTTACTGCTAATAGAGCTGGTCTAGAGTGATTTGCCAAGTACGAAGACGGTATCCGGATCTTGAAAAATTCCTTTCGTTCTGGCTGATAGTTAACTTTGATGACGACTATCTGAAGACACGTTTGACAAAAAACGACCGGGCATCGGCTGAAGTCATACAACTGCAAGCTGCTGCCTACTTACTTTTGAGTGCAGTTAGAGCTTGACTATCTCATGGATTCTTTGAATCTAACAATGAATCACACCCCAATACTGCCTCTCAGTATTTCGCCACGCGGCCATTTTGGCGCAGAATTGTCACAGGTGACTAAAAGTGGTACTTGTACGTCAGCATGAACCAGAGACCGGCATGGGTGGCTTCAAAGGAAAAACCAAAGCCCAGAGTCCAGTCAGATTAAAAATTTTTTCAGACAGTTGATAGGCGCATTGATTTTCCCCAGATGTGTCAACTCAACCAGACTATTCAAACAATCGACGTGAAAAAAAATGTACTGAATAAAACTCGGCCAAAAAAGTACACGATTTTCCTTTCCATCCTTGTAAGTTCTCATAGATTGATGTCAAATATACGATACGGACCTGTTATGAGTATGTGCTGTTGTAGATGCCACGTTGTATAAGCCGCAATGTTCAAAGCTATTCCGGAAGAGTTTTTAGATTATTCAGCATTATGACCTTGCTTCCTACATAATTTAGCATCGTTGTAAACAGCGAGACTAGTTTTCTAGAAATGGGTCAAATAGATTTCCGGTGTAATTGGAAATGTGTTTGTTTTATTTGAAATGTTTGACGAGATGTTTCCTAATTCGTCCGATCTAATTAAGAGAATGTCACGCTTAACTTGAGAAAGTTCCAATTCGATTTGAATAATGCCGTTTGTAAGGGAAATCTGAAGCTTAGCAAAGAAGATCTAGAGAAACCATTAAAAATTCTTTTATTTCATAGACCTGCATTTATTTCTTCTGAGACTGCAGTTATAGGTCCTTTTGACAATATCCTTACAGATCCTTCTTGCTGTGGTTATTGATCCCCTGATGATGTGGTTAGAGGTCTTTCTGAGAATGTAATTACAGGTCCCTCAAAGACTGGGTTCAGGGATTTCTGAGGGAGAAGTTGGAGACCAGGCTTAGGAAGTGTAGTTTTAGGCCTGTACGGAGTTGTAGCCTGAAATTATTCCTGAGATGTAGTTCCGAGTCCCAACTGAAAAATGTGGTCTCAGACGCATGAGATATTGTGGTCTCAAACATATGCGAACGCTTACTCCCGAAAAGTGTAGTGCCTGATTATGTGAAGGTATGGTTTTAGTGCCATGAAAGCAGTGTGATCTCAGACCCATGCGAGATTGTAGTTTCAGGTGCCTTTGACAATGTGATTACAGACATTTCCGACCGTGTGGCTTCAGAGGTTCCTGAGGTTCTAACTTCAAATGTTTCTGACGACGCGGCCTCTGCTCCTTGCAGACGTTTCTTCTGAGGTCTTTTGGAGGATGTGATGGGAGGCTAAGCTGGAGTCTTGTTCGAAGTCGGTAAGGGGTTATAATCTTAGATTGTACTGAGAGTGTACCCAGGTGGGAGTATGATCTCCGGTATATAAAACAGTATGGCTCCGGAACTATCTAAAAGTATGGCTTTAGAAGTATAACAAGCGTGGTTCGAACTCTCTGAAAATATAGCCTCTGACGAATCAGAGAAGGTGATTTTAATGGTTTTTTGATAGCATAGTTTTAGACCCACGCGAGGGTGTAGTTCCAAATCTATGTGAGGGCAGGATTCACTAATCCCTGACCGTGGGTACCTCAGAAGCTGTGTTTATAGATTCCTCTGAAACTGTGCTTGCAGATTTCTTTAAAATGTGTGATTACAATATTCCCCCGAGCTCTGGTTATAGTCTCCTCGGAAAATGTGGTTGCTGATCCCTCCGAGAATGTATGTACAGAAGTTTCTGAATGCACGGTTGGGTAGCAGCTTGAGTTAGTTTGAGGCCTGAACGGGACTCTAGCCTAAGATTTCCCTGAGGGTGTAGTTTGAATTCCATCTAAAACTGGTGAAAATGCAGAAGTCTTGTTTCAGGCCATTTGAAGGCATGGACTCATAAAGAAGTGGAGTTTCAGTGACCCCTGACGGAGTGGTTACGGACCCCTCTAATGAGACGTGGCTTCAAAGGTCATTAACGACGTGGTCTTAAAGTTTCCTGTAGATACCTAGTCTCCAACGGTATTGAAAATGTTGCCGGAGACCAGGCTCGAGTTGTTGTTCGAATCCTGTAAAAAGTTGTAGTCCGAAATCGCTCTGAAAATATGACCTGAACTCTATGTATCTGAGCTCTATCAGGGGGATGAGACCGTGCGGTTTTGGAGGTCTCTAAAGATATAATTTCAGAAGCATACGAACATATCGTTTTATGTCTGCGGCACAAAAATTTCTAGAAGTGTGCTTGAAGACCAGACTGAAACTATAGTTCGAGGCTAGTACGTGGTTGTCCTGAGGGTGTAGTTCGAATCCCATCTGAATCTATGGTCGGCGGGAGATACCTCTAGCCTACGCCAGGGTGTGCTTTCAGGCTCATCAGAGGGTGTACTTCCAGTGACTTCTGACAATGGTTACAGACTCCTTTGAGGAAATGGTTTCCAAGGTCTTTGAGGAGAAGGTTGGATACCACGTTCAGGCTGTTGTTTAGGTTTGTATAAAATTGTGGTCTGAGAGGCGTGGTTTGAGATCTGAACGAAGATGTGCTCTAAGACAATTGTAAAGAAGTAGTTTCAGAAGCCAATGAAAGTGTAGTTTCATAAGCTTCTGAACGCGTGACTTCCCTCGCATAAAAGGGCTAAGTCTAAAGATCTCTAAACATGTCGTCTCAGACATGTATAAGCGCTTTTTGAAGTCTCTCAATACGTAGTTTGAGGCTGTGGTTTGAGGTCTGGTGGGTTTTGTGATGTGGGTCTTATGGGAGGTTATGATGTTAACATAATCGCCTTTCCCTTTACAATAACGCCCACGTTTCACGCAACGGAAACACTTTATATTGTTTTATTGTCTACTTGATCCAAAAAGCGTTTATCAAGCGAATTGGTTTATATGCACATACAAAATAACGTTGTCAAAGCTATCGGCGCCGTAAATCTCTACTAAATGTATATCTCTTCTTTAGAGCATTTATGTATGCAAATCGTATGGTTTCTAGTTGATGTGACTCAAACGAGCGAAACTTTACAATTATGGCTAAAACAACTTACCAAATTCACTGGCCCACGAGTACCTTTGGCCTCGCGTCGTATTTCAGGATAGAAACTAAAATCGGTTGGTTAGAAACCTGGGTAGAACTTGTTTTTTTTATACCACTAGTTTGTTTACTGCTTCAAGATTATTAAGATCTAGCCCCAAAAATATACAATGAGGCTACGCAAAGGTTTTTATACAAATTGTTATAGTTCGGAACATATACTTCATTCATTATCCAAGTTTACAAAGCACCACTTGCGCGTCTTGCTACTTATAAAAATACTAAGGTTGAACAAGGAAAAGGTTCATATAAGTAGATTTACCACTTATGGCACCAAAAAAGTACCACAGACGGCTAATACCGATATACACATTCAAAGATTTTACCACCATTTTATCAAAAATAAAGCATTTAAACGAAAAATCTAAACTAATCTATTTAGTCCTAAAACTCATGATAAAGAAACATTTGATCGATCAGGTTAATTGATATTAATGTTTACAAACTTAATGATTGAGCCAATGACGCAAATATACGCAAAAGAGACCATAAGAAAATTTCGTCAACAGAGGGTAATCCTTTAAGCACGTACTCTAGATATTGAGATAGATATCTCTGATTCGACGTTCAACTGGCGTCGTTTTTAAACAGCTGGTACTCCGTACGACGTATTTCGGCACTGTTGTTACATGTAAAGAAAATGGCAGTTTCGCTATTGGCAATTGTATAGTATTTCGATGCCTTGGTGATTCCGAACTGTTTATCGGATGAGAGTACATCAAATTTGACGGTATCAACAAATGGTACTAAAATATTGGCCAGATTCGTCTCTGAGAAGGTCTTGAAACCATATCCCGATCGGAGCTCCAATGCGAATATTTAATCGCGGCGTATCAGGCTTTACATAAGTGAGAAAGTGTTACATGCGAAAGGCCGAAAATAGCCTGCTATCCTTTTGTTCGATGTTTTGAGTCAAGGAAAGACGTCACATTTTCGATCTTCGATGCGCCAAAGCGAAGAATACCAGTCCGTCGGGCCACCGCCTTGGGTCGAAGTTTACATCCTTAGTCTTCGCTGTATTGGCCACTGGTTTTCGCATATAACATATACCATTTATCATCGCCAAAATTTTAGAAACATATCGAAAAGGAAAGCTATTATAATCTGGCTATTTCTAAAACGGATAGACGCGAAACGAGGTCCTCATTTATTACCAATGCGAATTGTTTCTCTTTCGTACTCTCAATGCGATGTGACATAGGAAAAAACTACGAGCAATTGGCCATTATAGATGTATCGGAGAGGTTTGTGCTGGCCTTTCGCTGAAACGCTACGTTTTTTTTGGGCTTTATTATGCGACTCGGGGGATAGCATGGTACACACGAGAACACAACTAGAACAAGAGAGTTAGGACCCAGGTGGCTCCTACCTTTCTCCGGCAACGGGCTTAAATACTATAGTAGTATGGATTTATCTTCTTCGATGTTTGCCTCTTTGCGTCTTTAGAACCTAATGGTATGACACCGGAAAAAATGTGGTATTACTGCTTTATTACTTTTGCCGAAGTTTGTGATGCGATGAGCACGGACGTAGTTCGACGTAGCTAGCTTCACTCAAATTAACTAGATGACATGCCATTTTCCAATTGATACACGTTTCCAATGATAAGGCAGTTTATCATTTGTTCTTTGTCTATCATATACTGATCCGACTGGACTTGCTGATTTTGGGACGCTCCCTCTGACCACGAGACTCATTTACTTGAGTGACCGGATTACCTATATGTATCTATATGATCTCTATTATATATACCGGAGCGATATTATGGTGTTTTGTCCTTGATACGTTTGTAAGAACCCTATTATCTTGCTAATATTCATTTTAAACTTGGTCTTGGTTTTTCATTATTAGATTTACCAGCTCGAGGCAACCATCAGGGGATCACTATTTGAGACAAGAGTAAGCAGTAGTTCACTTCAGTTAAAATAATAATAGAATAATGATAATTTAATAAGCCACTGCAATGTATATCACTGACTACGATGCGACGAGTAACTTTTTGACACCACGCAGATTGCCAATTACGATAATAGGCAACTGAACAAAAAAGGATACACGTTTGCATATGAACGATCCTGAGCGGACTCCAGCAGTTTCTTTTTAGTAGATACCTCCTCTGCAGAGTTCAATGCAAAGCAGAGCCGTTCAACTTAGGTTTATCATCGAGAGATCTCTGCCTAAATGTACTCCCTTAAAGGAAAACACTACCTAGGTTGTTTAAGGAACGTACATTTTTTAGTTCGTAGCGTGTCTCTGTACTATTACTGTTACGCTACACGTTACTATTAACTGACCTTAAAAATGGAACGCTATATTTCGGTATACTTGAAAATCCCTACTTTTGAACTCCTCGCAATCAGTGGAAGCCAGTAACGAGTGTGATTATTTCGCAATTATAAAGCATGTAAGCGAAACGAGTACGTGCAATGCTAATATGCCTTACATTTAATTAAATTAATCATTGTGTTTTTTTTACCAGCAGTAAATCACTGCACGTATGATCTACATGCTGGATCTGTAGTTGCATCGTTACAAACGATGTCTTCGCTAGTGTTGTTTGTTTGGCATAGCTTCGTCCGCTTTAGATAAGAAGTTTTCAAATATACTTGACAGCAGACCCTGTCTTCGATCCTTGCGTAATTACCGTCAGCGTGCACAGTAACGTCGTTTAGTTGATTTACTACGCGGATGGCCAGAACCGAGCCCGAACTGTCATTTGCCACCGTGATCTGTAAAATCCGAAGGGACATTGTTAACACCACTGGTCCGACGTCTGTGTAGTACATAGTAGTGACTATCTATTTTTGCTAGCTCGAAATAAGTCGACCCTGTGTGGCCGTGTGGTCAGTATGTACTGTCTATGATCAGTTGACTGGTTGGTCATTCCTGCAACGATTCCAATGCGAATAGGTGTACGCGTATTTGGTAATACCCAGAATTTTCTACTGGGGATACTGTAGGGGTATTTTGGCCATTTCAATGTAATATTTTCCTTGATCGTATACTCCATGGTACTTCTTCGTACGCCTGCCTCTTGAGACATTAATTGAAATCAATAACAGTAAACAAGGAACGTTTAAATGAAGACTGAAGCATAATCAATAATAATAAGTACGTGCACAACGCAGATCGCTCCATTTTATTGCTGTCGTTGCTGCTGTTATTCTATCGTAAAACGCCTCAGCCTATATGAAAGCTACATAGGGTACGACGTCGGGTTACACCTCTCATGTCCATGTACGCACGTGTACGATCGTATAGAGACCCTTCGTTTAGCGCTCACTTCAACTAGAAACAACAATCAGCGATAGCAGCTAAGCAAGGAACCCAACTAAGCAAACCGCATGCATAGGAACACTGCTACAATGCATTGAATCAACCGTCCATTGTGTATCTGATATAGATAGCGGTTTTACGGCTGTTCAAGACCTCGCATGTCGTCATCTATCTATATATATATATATATATATATAGAATTATGCTATAACAGTGAAATTTTGTTAGCACAATTGGCGTTTAGATAGTAAACAGATCCCCACCTTACTTTATTTATAGGTCATATGGTGGTAATTGGCCTAATCCACTTCAAAGCTGACAGGTCGAAATTGATAAAATCATTTTTTCCTATATTTGGATATTCTTATTTTTAGCCAGTTTATGGTACTCTAAGACAGCTTCCCGAACGTTTAACGAGAAGCTGATTTACTGACGACCGGCGGCTGTTCCACACTATTGGTCCTCAAAGCTTCATCTATGACTTTTAGTACGTCACGCCTAAAATTAAAACAACTTTTTTGGCTAGAAAGTGACTTTGATTTAATATAATTCGGATACAATCGGAAAAGCACTGTTATGAAGGCAAAATGAATCGTCTACAAGGCCGTTGTGAGCAAAGTACAATAGGTCAATGCGTACAGAGAAAACAGTCAGCAGCTAGGAGCCTTGGGGGTAATATACCTAATAAGAGGCCAAAGGTAAAAAATCGAACGTTTAAATGCGCTGTGCATTGAATACCGTATATGCATCGGTGATAGAGTCAGCTATTCTTGACCTTATGAATGAACTATTTAGCCATGCATGATCTAAATATTGTTAGACGCCCAGGTCAGGAAGAGTAATCGTTCCTATTTCCTTCCACAAATATAAGGGCTGGTCTCAATTATACAAAAACATACCGATTTGTTTAGATATGATAAAAACGTTTGTACAACGGCCGGAGGCTTGTAAATCCAGCTTTCGATATACATTAAATCTACCGCTAATAACAGCCAAGGCACATACACTATGAAATCGAATTTAAACGAGATATAAGAAAACAAACATGCTTATCATGTTGAACTTTACACTGATGCGGCCGGCCACATGTCTCTATCCGCAATCTCCGAAAGCCGAAATCCATCACAAAATTGACCGTGTATAACTTGTAGAATGTGAATCCTTCGTTGAGACTCACAAGGTCGAAGTGTCCAAGTCGCTCCAAACTTGAATAGCTTAAGAAACTCTTTGTCAGGCTGAAATTACAAGTTTCTAATATATATTTATTATATATAATAAAATATATAACATAATATATATAAAATAAGCTACAAACAAAGAAAAGAGTCGATAATGTGCTATCATAGCGAATAGTACAGTTTGGCCAAGCACAAAATCGTCGTCCTAGACATTCATCGACAGCCACGGCTACATGGGATCATCTCCCCTTTCACTTATTATCAGATGGAGAATAGTCTATCTATGCTTTTTGTCTGAGTTCAATCATCGTTCTTAAGATTTTTTCGCTTGCCAACTTCAAATGGATATAACCTGCGTTTTTCTACTACGAATATTTATTGAAATATCTATATAGATAGATATTTAAATATTAGATAATAACAGTGTCCAACATTCTCTCTATAAAACAGAGGGCTCTGATATAGTAGCCTTTTTTTCCCAGGATACTTGAGAAGATGCGCTTAGTGAGCTCTGAATGTCTTCATGATATCCGAAATCCATTTACGAGATTAAGCTTAACAGTTTTCGAAAAATATCTACATACTTTGTGGCGTCTTTAGTTCGAGAACATGATTCGGAAATGGGTTTAATTTTGGGTTAGGGCAATGATCTGCTCCCTGCAGCCGTGTTGGGCAGCATACTCTTCACGACTAGAACTGTTTGAGGTGCGACATTTTCGAAATATCAGTAAGAAGATTTTGCCAAGGATAAAGTGCTTGTTCTAACCTCGTTAAAGCAATTTTCGATCGTTAGGTAGTAACGTTATATTAAGGCTTGGTATGAAAACTACGTATCGTACAAGAAGACATAGTAGAATGTAAATCTGCTAAAATTATTACAGTGTTCCCGGTGCTGGAAAGTCATGTTCCGTACTTAGAAGCATCGAAGCTTTCAAGCTTTGTAAAACGTAATGTTTGCGCATTTAATTCGTAGTTGGTGAGGTTAAACACATAGGCTTCTGGTGGGATCGTCTGTGGCAAGATAAACGCGTTCACATACGAGCCGCTTCTCAGTACGGCCAGCGGAACCCGTATTGTCAGCTTGATCTGCAGAGCGCATGGAGATCGAAAACATGAAGGTTTGGGTTAAATCGATTGATTACGAACATATTTAATTCCTTGTCTAAATCTGTCAAGAAACAGCTCCCCTCCCCCCTCCCCCCAACTAATGTGTTTGTCTATAAATTGTAATATTCTTTAATACATTTTTTTTTTTTGTTAATTTTATTCTAATTGAGAGCGGGGACGTGAACAAAAATATCGGTAAACCATATTAAAATCTGCTCGGTGTGCTTTACAAAGCTTGCTACAATAGGTAGTATACACCAGTTGGTAACTTTGGCTGTCGAGGTAAGCAGGATGTCGAATAAACACATCGAGTTTTTTTTTCTGACGCATTTATACATACAGCTAAAATAACCTAACGGACTCCTCTTCCAATTGTCGCATCTCAACGTACTCACCGAGTAAACCATCGCATAGATGAGTGGCCTATCGAGGAACCTTTGTACTTTGCCAAGATCATATGTGATGGTGAAAACGTTAGAACTAATTTCGGCGCTGCGCTCGCACCAGTTCTCCGGTGAGGTCGATACGTTTTTATTCGAGTCTGCTCCAAGGGCTTCGAGATCATACGAGCGCTTTTTCAACAGATGGGCTTCTACTTGGGATTCGGATGACGTGATGGCCTGCGTGACCTGCTGTGGAACGGGATCCTTATAGTTCATAACACTAAGTGCCAGAAAAATGTCGATCGGGACCAAACAGGTCAGGATGCAAAAAAAGGTTAGAATAACTGGTAACATTTCACGCCTGCAAATCCACACAGAGCAATAATAACTGAATTAACGGAAACGAATCGATAAATGCGTACGACTCTAGGCAAACACCAACACGAGCCTTTGCGCGCGTATTCATATTGATGACCCTGTAAGATCTTTATACTTAAAATGATTGTATAAATGTATGCGAGTTATATTAGCCAAAAAGACAAATTTGAACGCGAGGAACCTTTTTGGTTGATCCTAGCATTGTCCTTCAAAGAATGTGTTTAACCTCTTGATAATATTATTCTTGATAGATCTTAGACAGTCAGTGTATAGCAAGCAGCTTGTTGCACCATTGCTACATAATTTTTTTTACCACATACGCTTACCCAAATATCATTAAATCGCAACGTAAGCCGCAATAGAGCGGGTAGAAACTTTCGTAAAACACTATAATCATATAATTACTTACTGGCGAAGTCGTATGTTTCGAAGGTTATCTATAGAAAAAATATACTGGAAGCAGGAAGAGAGCCTTGTGACGCGACAACGGTGTCATAATATAGGTTACTCCTATAGGTCCTAGTCAGGGGTGGGAAACTGCTTGCCAACTGCAAACTGCTTGGGGATCTGCTTGCCATTTATTGACACGGATTGCCTACGAATGCTTTCATTCCATTTTAAATTTGCCAGTAAAGCTCATTATGAAGCTGCTGGGGAGCGTTTTGTCACGCTTCGTTATGTGAACAACACGCTGCGACAGCTGATAAGTTAATTATCTCGGTTTCAATTATACAATAATATCTATTGCGACACGGTTAGCTATAACTAGTACATATCGGAGATCTGTGTTACAGGTTGAACTGGCTATAGGTGCTTCTAAGGTTCATCTGTCATTTTTCATACACAATACCTTTTGCATCCATAGGCAAGCCAGGTCTCGTCGGTGACACTGTCATTTTCTTCCAAGTTTTTCTATACATATATAGGAAAAACAGTTCAAAAATCACTGATAGTGGGCAAACCGTCTCGAGTTCTCCCGCAAAAGTCTCGAGTTCTGAACGAGACAGAAACCTAGCGGGAACACATGTTACCCTTTCTGTACGGACGGTAGACTTCCAACTTCCAACCCATTGTTGCACTCTATAACCTTAAGCAAAGCGAGGTTGGTTGAGAAGGGGAATCGCGAATCAGAGTAGTATCGACGAATACAGATGGCTAAAACACGATTATCTGTTGAAGTGTTGATAAACGTGCGTGCACTGACTCTTTACATTTACATTGATTACGTTGACAGCAATCGATGACGTGCAATAACGGTAACGCTGGTCTGTTAGCCTATCGTCATGAAAAATCAACCGCGACAAAGCGATGTCCTTTCTAAAAACGTATTTAATTATACAGTTATTTCCTGCTGGAAGTTCAGTTTTGAGGATAAACGTTCTCAACTCAGGAAGGTGTGCTCTAGCTCAAGAGGATCTACGTTTCCTATACAATAACTGTTAATCGTTGCTCCCCTAGAGTGACGCCTCGATATAAACTGTACCTCAGACTTACATGGACCTTTCTGGAATCTCAACAATAACGCCGACTTTATCATTTTCCGGATTCTTTTGCATGGCTTTTTCCAGATCGTAATTTATAGAAGACGCTTTCGGAACGGGAATTTGCGCAGCTTCGTATTTGATAGGCGTCGCAATCGCTGATTGTTTTCTACCGACCACGACTGACCCAGGCTTCTTTAACTCTGACGATGTGGGTCGTGCTTTATTCCCGATTGACATCACTGATGATTCGTCAAAATAGATAACTTCTTCTCACTTGTGTAACGCATCCAGTTATACATAGAAATGATTCTTATGTAGAGGTTATATCTGGACAAATTCAACTTCGTTGCTACTGAGACACTGTGGTCTATCAAAAACTACATAGAAATCGTTTACTAGTAGAACGTAACGAACAACGGTATCCGTGTCCCTACACAACATCGCCGTTATGCAACTTACGTTATTCTTTCAAAATTCAGAGCTATAAAGTAATGAAGGTGGTATCTATGGCGTGTGATAAACGCCAACGTTTCGTCAGCGATTTAAAATGAAAATGTTTAATCGTGCTTAATTTTAAAGCCGAACCGACTTTGAGGTTTAGTAAACAATGGGTCTAGGATTTTTAGCTGGTGCCCAGCATGAAGCCTTTGCTGAGAGCTAGCAAAATTGCTGAATGTGCACGACGTGAGTAGGTTTTCTAGATTGACATGTGGTCAAGGATCGTAACTTAGCTATCCGGTCAGACCTGTTGACCTATTCAACTAATGCCAGAAGCGGCTGTATTATAACGAAAGCCACTACAACTCTTTTTATAACTTACATATTTCACGCGCCTGCCTATAGAACAGATCTATATCAGCTATATAGATGTATATAGGATTTTTCAAAAGTACATAGCTTTCGTAGATGAAACAAGTTCATCAGTGCAAAGCTTTATACTGGAAACCATCAGTTCATGCATTTCTTATATGAACGTGTTTCTCCTAACATAATACATCTAGTACAATAGATAATACAACCCAAAGTACATGACCAATCTAATGTAAGTCGATGTCTCAAGTTTTAAATGCGGTACCGCCATTAGCCGTTGCTTAAAATAAAACAATCAATCCGACGGAACGTTTATGTCTACAATTAGGTAGACACCAAACCAAGGGCCTTGTTTACACAGGACGTCAATAATGTAGATGTATAGATAATGTAGAATAATGTGTTATTTAACGTTATCGGTGCATGATCGTTGCTTTTATTAGTCGTTTAGGGCGGTCTGACGCAACAGTTCGGAGTTCGCCGAGGACATCTGCCTTTTTCAATGAATCCAAAATGTCAGAAAGATAGGTAATTTAAGAAGTAAATATAACTGGTTTGTATTCCACAAGAGAAAATAATTTATAGTTATTGAAACAAAGTTGCAATCTTAAAATGGTGCCGTAAGGGCAGACGCTAAAAGGAGAATGAAAAGGGAGATGTCGTCGCCTATTGGAGACCCACTTTTTATGAAAATAAAGACACAGACCGATAATAAGTTAAGCTCTGTTATCCACTACCCCACGCCCCGCCCCTATATGATTGTGGGTATCCTAACTTTCTCTGCAGTTAGGACTCCTGAAAGAGTTAGACAAGAGATCACTCCCTGAAAAAGGCGATCTGGCATTTCTCGGTAGGGGGCATTTACTTCTCTCTCCCTCCTTCCCGTCACCTCACCCCCTCTCTCTTGATTACCATTACTATTATTTTCCGGTGAGCTGGGTCTCCCGCAATAACCACATAATTAGAAAATAAGAGATAAAAACCAATGGTTTAAAACAACAGGAAGGTAACAACCATCTTCTTCAGCGCTGTATCCACATCGGCAGATAGGGAACGACAACGGTCCTTTGCCAAGTGTAATTTATTTTATACTCTACCCGCCTATATTATGGGTGCAGACTACTGAAACATCGCTTCTACAATTAAACTTGCTAATCGAAGATACGGAGCTGAATTATAGGCACTATAACAGAACTGCTTCAGTGACTACGACTTGTAGCTTGTCAGTTGCTAGGCTTGCTATGGCCCACCACGTCGATAAGGACAAATTGCAGCTCATAGTTGGGCGATACGTACACCGACACTTTCAACGACGCTATTATGAGTGACGCTGTGTGTGGAAACATTCGAAAGCTGGAACAGAACGAGTTACGGCAAGAAGCTAAGGCCGATTTTTGCTGGGACGCCATGTCGCTACTTCGTCTTGTGGCTAGCTGGTTGCAAGGCAAGGTACGTCTTTCGTGTGCTGCGCGAACCCCACAAATGCTGAATTGTAAAAATGGATGTTTAGTATATTCCTGTCTTATAGTCATTGAATGCAATGGATTGTGTCAAAAAGTAAGCTAAGAGCTGCATAACCAGCGAAGTACTATGTAAATTGACTGCAGCATTATCCTCATTTATATTGTCGGTAAACTTGAAAATGCTACTGATCTACCAGATCTTCCATTTATGTGATACCCTTTAGATTACAGTCATGTCGTGCGAACAGCATCTACAGTAAAAATTGTTTAAGTTCAATACAATTTTACAAATCAGATCGAAAAATTACAGCATGTACGCTAGGCGGGCAAAGGGTCATATGAGGGGCTATGAGCTATTGAGAGCAGCTTAAAAACGCGAAGCTGATACTGTCAGATGGCCTAGAACAAACGATAAGAAGAGAAAGGCTCAGGGAATTTAAACAGATACCGTATAATACAGAAATATATAAACGTACACGGTCAAAACGAAACTATAAAAAAGATCAAATGAGATATGCAAAATGGAATTATCTCGGCAGAAATAGCGATACGGTACTAAAAGGCAAAATTTGGAATGAACGTTTGGACAAATGAACTTATGCGGTCAAATAGCGTCGATAATTTAAAACTTACGAACCATAGGCCGACGCCAGTTATGAATGATCTAGTTCTAGTTCTACGCCCTTTGCAGGAAAAGTGGTGCAGATCAAAGAAACACACTTCAACGAAAAGGCAAATGGAATCTTCGTTCAAGATTCAACGAAATCGCAGTGGAAAATGTTTCAGACGTCACTGGAATAGGTGACCAAAATGACTGAATTGTGGTTCATATTGTCCGTTAATTAAACTTCCATAGCAATGACACAAAAGGAGCATAACTAGAAAAGTTCAAGCAATTCATGACGCAGCGGATAAACTTATAATCCAACTGATGCACCACTTGCAGCATCAAGTTCAATCATTCACACTTCATGACTAAGTTAACAGTTCATCGGAGAAATAGTACGATTACCGTTCATGCATATCTCGATCGACTGAAAAATCTTTAGCTGAAGCAGAGCTAGATATAGACGCTTAAACACTAACCTAAGCGCGTTAATAGATAATGAAATTCGGCATGACATACGCGGTTCTACTTTCAAGCCAGCCTTTCTGTTGGCGCGTTGTTGTACTAGCAGGCCATCAAAGCGGCCAGTACCAAGGTCTGTCTCAAATGTTGCGCTTAGGATCCTGAATATCTTACATCTTGCAGGTGTATACAGATATATAAATCCTGCAGGCCTTCTACGCCCATAGTTGTTTACCGTTTGGGGGTTTCTGGGAAGAGTCGTGGTAAAATTGCTTAAGGCCTGTGGCCTTAATTAAGCTATGGCGCGTCAGCTGATGCGAAGCACTTCCTAAATATCAAAACGTATACCTGTTCTCGATTTAGCCTTCTACTCAGCGGTCCGGGAGAACATATGCAAATATTTCGTTTTTCTAATTGTGGATAGCACACAGACTGTTGTGAACTCTCGGGAGCGCAGAGTGATTTATTTGTATGAATAGGTAGCGTCACCTCGATTTTTAGATACACTGGACAAATGTGCTTTTTCTTATTTTTGTACTGGTATATTTATTGATATGTCTTGGTAAATTTTTGTGCTACGACGCTGCGTTTGGTAAGAAAGTTGCGTGCTTCGTCACTTTAAATATAAAGTGATGAAACACGCCTCTTAAATAAACATAAATATATGCTTTTTGTAAATAATCACAGAGACTGATACATCATGCTTAAATGTCCTGAAGAACATTTCTGCTGGGCTCTCAAGTCAAAACTACGATTTGATAAATCCAATTTGTGACCCCAGGACCTAGTCTAAGTGTGATTTGTGTATTGTTTCTGTGAAAAGTATCGAGAATTCGTATAGGCACACTTCGCATTATTTGTCCACGTACGAAATAACAAGATATTATCAAACGATATTTAGCATTATAATAATTAAACATAATATTGTCATGTCTGCTCCTGATACAATCCGATGCAGTGACATCTTTGATCCATCAACTGTTCGTCACAGAAAATTGTTCCGCATTTATTCTGACTTTGGCTCCTCGGTGCGCCACCAAGGAAAGCTGTAACATCCACCTTCCAAAAGCAGGTAGCCTAATCAGTAACGTTCACTCTCTTAACCTAGGACCATTGTTAGTACTCTCGAAAAGTACAAAAATTCCAGACGTATCAGAAACGCCAGCTAGGTGTCAGTAAACTAGAACCCGCCGCATATCCTAAGCATAAGATTGAAGAATCCAAATAACTATAAATGGTGTTTTTAATAATACGACCTAGGCTAAGAATGACGACTCAAGGTTGCCAGCCTCCTCCTCCTCCCCCCCTTAGGTTCGAGAAACCTTCTGTCTTTTCTTGTGCAACATATAACCGTGTTTATTAAACGTCAAGTATGTCTACCGTACTGTGCCATGTGTCGAACTTTTACTGCTGATTGTGTAAGTATTTTAACTGAATATAATGAATTTATTTATATCGATGCGGTAAGACAAGTGTCGACTCCGTTGGCCACGGCGTCATTAAGGATCTTTTGCCTAATGTTGTCAATACAAAATATTGTAGCTCCTGCCTGTTAGACTGCCTGACGTGCTCGTTAAGAAACGAAACCCAAAGCTGTAACTGGGTTCGATGTCGAGATGTCGCAAAAGGATCTTGTCTCGTGTGCTACTCCCGTTTAGGGTCTGACAACCATTGGATACACACTATTAGTATACACACTAATTTTATGGGTTGACAAAATACGCACGAGACTCACAAATGTTAAACTAGAGGTACAACATGGACTTCATACAGGAGGATTTGGTTAGGCCACACAAGTGAATCTGTAACGCTTCATTGTTTGTCTCTAAGTTCGGCGTATTTTTAAGATTTGAAAACGCTGGCCTCTTATTATAAATATTGCATTTCGTAATATCGTAACAATTAAGTTCATCCGCGCATTCATAGCTTCTTTCCGCTCCATTATATCTAACCTTGGTGCTGCTCAGCGCCTCGAGCCCAATTGTCTTT